CCCCCCCCCCCCCCCCACGCCGCTGTGCTCTGGTCTCTCCTCGCCTCCTTCCTCCCCCTCTCTCCTCCTCCTCCTCTGTCTCTCTTCCTTCTCCTGTAGGAGCCTCAAACTACAGTAATTCATAACCCCGCGGACGGCATTAAGGTATTGCTGCCCCCCTCCGCTTTCCGCCTCCATCCTCCCCCCATCTCCCATCTGTTCGGGGCTGGGGGCTCCCGCTGGTCCCAGGGAGGCGTCACCCCCACGGCTGGGGCGCGTGGTTCCCCCCCTCCTCCCCCCAAAATGGGTGCTGACCCCCCCACCCCTCTGTCTCTCCCCCCGCACTGCTGCCCCCCCCCCCGCCGGCAGGAGTCGTCCGACAGCACCAACACCACCATCGAGGACGAGGACACCAAAGGTGATGGGGACGGGGGAGGGTGGGGGCGTTGGGGGCACTGAGTTGCATTAGAATGGAGCTTGGATGCACTGGAATGGCACTGGGAAGCACTGGGACAAAGCTAGGAGACACTGGGATGTACTGGGATGGAGCCAGGATGCAATGGAATGGTGCCGGGATATACTGGAATGATGCTGGGATGCACTGGAATGGAGCTAGGATGCATTAAGATGCATCGGAATGGCACTGGGATGGAGCTGGGAGACACTAACATGCGTTGGGATGGCACTGGGATGCACTGGGATGGCACTGGGATGCACTGGAATGCATTGGAATGGTGCTAGGATGCACTGGGTTGCATTGGAATGGCACTGGGATGGCATCAAAATGCAATTGGCTGCAGTGAGATGGCATGGGAATGCAGTGGGGCCCTCTGAGGCAGCGCTGGGATGCGTTGGGGTGGCATTGGGATGTGCAGGGTGGAACTGGGGAGTGCTGGGAGGTGACAGAATGGTCCTGCAGTGCACTGGGAAGGGACTGGGATGTACTGAGGTGTGCTAGAATGGCAGTGGGGCGCAGCAGGACGGTGCTGTGTCGAGGTGTGCTGGGATGTCCAGTTTGGGTGGCACTGGGGCGCATGGGAAGCAATGGGGCGGTGATGCACTGCACTGGAATGTCAGTGGGGTGCGCAGGGGTGGTGTGGGAGGCACTGAGCCGCACTGGGATGTGCTGGAAGGTCACTGGGGTGGATTTGTTGGCACTGGGATGTCAGTGAGATGCACTGGTCGGAACTGGGATGTGGTGCAGTGCGACAGGATGGCACTGGGGTGTCGGAGTGCACTGGGGTGGCAGTGGGAGCAGGGTGTCAGCATCCCCTCTGTGTCCTCGAGGTCCGTGTGTCCATCCCCACGTCCTCATCATCCACACGTCTGGCTCAGGGGTCGGTCTGTCCCCACGCTGTGCGTCCGTCCGTGTGTCCTCATGATCTTTGTGTCCCCTCCCCCTTTGGGGCCGTACCGTGACCCCGCTGTCCCCGCAGCCCGCAAGCAGGAGATCATTAAGATCACAGAGCAGCTCATCGAGGCCGTCAACAACGGGGACTTCGAGGCCTACGCGTGAGTGGGGTCGGGGGGGGGGCAGGGCTCGGGGGGGGCTGAGGCTGACGCAGCGCTTTGCAGGAAGATCTGCGACCCGGGGCTCACCTCCTTCGAGCCCGAAGCTCTGGGCAACCTGGTGGAGGGCATGGACTTCCACCGCTTCTACTTCGAGAACCGTGAGTGCTGCTGCTGCCTCTCCTCCTGCCTGCCCGTCCTGCCTTCAGTGCCTGCCTGTCATCCCCGTCTCTGTTGCTGTACATCTGCTGCATCCCTGCCTGCATTCTCACCTACATCCCTTCCTTTCCTGCATCCTTTCCTGCCTCCCTTCCCTTCCTGCCTCCCTTCCCTTCCTGCATCCCTTCCTTCCT